CTCTTTAGTTAGTCATTGACAACATGTCACATGTATTGATTACTATGTCTAACAATATGTAATAGTTTTTGTATCACATGGATAAAGTCGATGTTGCATGTGTACTGCTATCACCATTAAAAAAGCTAGATACAATATTAAGTAATAATTCCAAGAACTTAATTCGAACTCATCTAAAACTATTCGCAATCTCGAGACTGTTATGATATAAATCTTTCATGCATTTTTTGAGTGTAAATGTGCCGTGGTGCAATATTGACTATTACATAACATATGTTTGGTATATATGCGGGTGTACTTTTGGTTAAACACTATGTAATGTGAGCACTGTATTCTTATAAACTATTGGACTTCTATTCTACAGACAAAAAATAATATGTCCATGGCCTACATGTTATTTTCTTTCAAATGATCATATTGTTCTTTGCTTTTATTTATTCACTAATCGATTTGTTATTTGTTGTTTTCTTATTGAATGCATGTTCTTATCAATATTCTAACATTCAATAATATGTTACACTTGATTAATTATACAATTCATAAAAATATCATATTTATTGAGTTGATATATTCTTCTTTGGCGATAACAACACACATGACAAATTAGTCTCAAACACACGTCCATCGTGTTACCATTGAACCAACAACTAGATATCGTTTTATGGATCTTCGGAGTCATGGATCTATGGAGTTTTCGATCCTAAGGATTTTACATCATGGGTCCTCCGTCTATAAAACAAGTAATTTGATTAGAGTTATTGTTAAATCCTTGCATTTCAGTAAATGGCTAGGATGTTTATGACCATGAAGCTTTCCAGTGATAAAAAGAATGATTAAGTTGTTCCATGCTCTTTCGATAAAAAATAAAAAAAATACTATGTAAATGCACGATAAAGACACATCATAATAATTTATTTTTGCAAACTCATAATGTAGTTCCCAACTTTAGAAGTTTCAAAACACCACTATCTAGAAAAGATAGCTCGAAATATTATGAAACTGTTAGTAAATGTAATTTTTAAAACATCTTTGGTCATAAAAGTTATTTCCGAACTCATAGTGTAGTTCGAAATAAAAGTTTTGAACTTGATGATAAATTTTTCGATTTCGCTAAAAATGGTCCAATTGTTAAAATATAATTAAAAAAAGGATTCATTTTTTGTGATTTCTTAGTTTCAACTTATAATAACGATGCTAGTATAAGTGGTGACATGATTCTAGTAGGTGGTAGATGTGATGGTTAGGGTAGAAACTAATGAGTCGAATATAACTAAAAATATCATAAAGCCACGGACCCCCGACTAGCCCGAACCACATGTTGAGGACAAAAATTAAAGTGATTCCACCACTCCACCCACCACCACCACAACCAATGCTACATAGAATGTACGTTTTAATTTGGTTTCTTAGCTTTTTCTCTTCCTTGACTTTGCCCTTTTTAACCCCACCATCCACCCAAAAAAGCCCACCACCATTAATTACATGCACTAAATTGCTTCTATTTATACATATATTAATTGTCTCCACAACTGGCCTTCCATTCATAATTGGTGATGGATGGACGGACTTCTTTGGTTCAAATAATATGATCGGAAATGTATAATTTAATATTAGATTTCATCGTGAATTTATGTCATGATGATCAATTAAATAGACATTTGTTAAAATTTAAGTTCTATATATACACACAAATACATATATTACCAAAGTGTGGCCTTCCATTCATAATTTAAGTTCTATATATACACACAAATACATATATATACACACAAATACATATATTACCAAAGTGTATCTTGATGTCTTTATGAAGATGAGTGGTGATGATTTTAGTGTTATCAACATATTTTAGTGTATGTAGTATTGTTATCGAGATAAGTTGAGTTCTGTTACTCATCGAGATTGAATGTGTGTGATGCACACTCAAAGTGATAAATTTAAACTCGAGATACGGGGGCAACATCGTTGGTGGGACCTAGTTGGTGTCCAAGGGGCAGAGCCTCTGCCAAAATCTACTTATGACATCATCATGATGTAGACATCAGTGATGTCAAAAAAACTACCACCTTCCGGTGCCAATTTTGGTGTAACCGAATTTTAATCACTTTTTTCCTTGTATAAATGGAATGTAAATGTTCCAAGAAAAGGGTTGAACTCTCATACATATGAAATTGATTATAAACAATTCTCTATCTCATCCAACACAAAACAATGGTTGAAATCACACATTTTATCCTAAATCTGATTTCGTAACACTTCAAACTGTAGGGTTGAAATCACACATTTTAGAAAGCGATTGCAATTACCATCTTAAAAATTATCCAAAAATATTGATGCTTTTAAGACCCAAAATCTAACACCGAGTTATTGTGTTTATAACTTCAAAGAATATTAAAAGAGTAGGAGCTCATGCCAATTAATTTCGATCGATGGAATATATTTTACTTACTTTATTATATAAAGATAACCAACGATTGAAGTTGTCCCTAAATGGTCCATGTAAACCTTTAAGTAAAATATGTTGTAACTTTTTTCTTTTTCTTTTTTAATCAAAATTTTAACCTTTTTTTTAATGAATTTATCCTAACTTCTTTTACAATTGTCTCAACTTTTTACGACATCGTTTTAAAACTTTGATTTTAAGTTTTTAACTTTTCCACCCCCTCCCCCTACAATTGCCCTAATATTTTATTCAAATTCCTTTTTACAATATTTCTTTATAAATTTATGAAAACAGATATGCAAGAAAGTGAACTTTACATATTTTTAAAAACTTTAATGCAAGAAAACTAAAATGTAAAAAAAAAAAAGTTTAGAAAACAACTCTATAAAAAATAATTGTGAAAAAGAAAATACTATTTTGTGGAAACGAATTAAAAAGCATACATAAAAACAAATACATAAAGAGGACGTTGACAAAAAAATATAAAAAAATGTAAAATTGTTATAACAAATTGTAAAACATTAATAGAATTTTAGAAAACATGCAAAAACAATATTGAAAAAATGGTTTAGATAATTCGTAACAAAATTTAAAACTTTATAAAAGAAAGAAAGCATGTTGTATATGCTATAAGAGAACATAGAGCAGTTCATTATAAACTATAATGATTTGTTATGTTTTAAGGTAATAAAGAACATAATTTATCTTGAAACAACAAAAATAATTCGTTAGTAAAGTTCTGTGTATAAAACCTTTCTAATGCCAAATATTCTCTCCGTCCCATATTAATAGTCCATGTTTTCTGTTTGGTTTGTCCCAAAATAATTGTATACTTCTAAAAATAAATATGTATTTTACCATAATACCCCTCATTATTAGTTAAATTACCATAAAATTAAATGCAACTACCATAGAATTAAATGCAACAGAAGGGTAAGACTGTCATTTCCTTTAATAAAGTTAATGGTAATTAATGCTTTCTTAAAATGTGTGTCTTTTGTCTGTGGACTATTATTTTGGGACGGAGGGAGTAGTAATTTTGTTTGAGGGCTATGATAGTGGGTGATAATTAAGACCACTTATGATAATGTCAAATCGTGATTATCATATCTTTGAGGGCTATTCTTCGGTTAATATGATTTTTTTGGCAATCAAAAACATAATACTACTTTCTCTCTCTAAAACTCTATCCTTTTTATTGTGTTTGAATACTATTCCTCTCTCTTTAACTAAGAACATAAATCAAAGAACAAGAACACGTTTTAGAATAATGAAATGAGATCATCATGGATTCTTGGGTACCAAAAGGTCCAAAATTAACACCGACATCACACACAACAACTATTGAACTTTAAAAGAAATATATTCTTTAGTGATTTAGATATTTTCTCCAATGGTTGCAAAAAACTTTTGCTAACCATGTTAAGCACCACAAAAACAGATGGTGTGAGAACAATATTTTTCTCATGTTCTCACATATGCCACCAAATAAAGATACCAAATTCAACGTACATGGTTGTTAATTATTATTCCACAAACACCAAACAAGACTCATACCTCATCGTTGAAAAGAAATTCTTAAATCCATCTCAATGGTTGATTGCTCGGAATAAGTTCTGATGATCAAGTTAACGACTAGTTTGAGTTTAAGAAAGTCATAGTAATAGAACAAAGTATTTCGAAAGAGTAAAAGGGCAACCTTTAATTGAGACTCCATTTACAGATCCTCAATTTATAGGGTGTTGCCACATTAACCACACATATGTTCGTGTTGTTATGAAGAATTATTCTTCTTGATAACTATCCATACATCAAGCTTTTGGACGAAAACTTGGAATAAGTTTGACATATGACATACATTGAATGCATGAATGACAATAGACCAGACCAATAAAGTTATTCTATATGCCCAATATTGAGATATTCTATGCTATAATTAGACCTTAATTTTTCATATTAAACATCAAAATAATATTTCGAGTAAAATACTAAAATCGTCCTTGTAGTTTGGTCAAAATTGGTCCCTAACTTTGTTTTTGCACTCGGGTCGTCTCCGTGGTTTGATTTTGTTGCGTTTTTCGTCCCTTACATACCTAAAATTAGAGACCAAATGTGCAATTTTGATCAAACCATAGGGATGAAAGACGCCACAAAATCAAACCACAAAGATGATCCGTGCAAAAAAAGTTAAGGACCAAATGTAAAATTTTGACAAAACCAAAAAAACGATTTCAGTAATTTACTCAAATATTTTCAAAACATATATAATTTGGTTTATATAATTAGTTGGGCCTTACATTTAGTTTAGACTATACAATTTACATAGCAATAAATGGGCTCTTAAATGGATAAAGAAGACTCCATGGTCTAAAATCAAATTAGCTAGCCCAACACTTGTTTCTATAAACAAAATCCGAAACAATATCTGTCATCGTTAGTTGTACGTTACAGTCTACACTCCCTATCTTCAATTCTTCACACTCCAATCACCGATACTGATCGCCGATTCGCCGCTAGTCGGTGCATCTACTAAATCTAAAAATTTCCATGGAGTTTAATGGCTGTTAATCTAAAGAATCGGTCAATATTGTCGGAGTTAAAGCTCAAAGATGGCGGAATCTTCCACAGGACCGCCGCCGGCGTATGCTCTGTCATTCACGGACGACAAGGAGCGCCGACGCCTCGAGGAAGACGAGAACCCTTTCGAAGGGAAGTTCTCTTTCTTAACGGTAGCTCTTTGCCCTTGTCTCGTATGTTTTATGCTTGTGATGATTATAGTCTCGATCGTGCTCACTGTGAAGTTCCATTTATTTTGCCACACACCTCTTGGATCTCTTCTGTACAAGAAGAAGTGCTAGTAACTTCAAAACTTAGGTATATTCCTGTAAATTCGCATTCACAATCGACGAGGTGTGTGAATTTTAGGGGAAATCATCTGCATTCCTTTAAATCACTTCCTTCAATGGATCTATTAGAGAAAAAACGGCACAACCAAATTAGGGGTTTTTGCGGAGTTGTAAATTCCGATGACGAATCAGAATCGGAAGATACAGAAGGTGTGAAATCTTTAGCAGATGAAGAGGAAGTGAAAAGGATCTGTAACGTGATTGAAGAGTTATTTGCCCTAGATCGAAACATGGAAGCTGTATTAGACGATTGCAAGATTAACTTAACTCATGATCTGGTTATCGATGTGTTAGAAAGGTTTAAACATGCTAGAAAACCAGCTTTCAGATTCTTTTCATGGGCAGGACAACAACCAGGGTATCACCATGATTCAAGAACATACAATACTATGATGAACATTCTTGGAAAGACTAAACAATTCGAAACCATGATCTCTATACTCAATGAAATGGGTGAGAAACAATTACTCACATTAGAAACATTCAACATCTGTATCAAAGCATTTGCAGCAGGTCAACAAAGAAGAAAAGCAGTAGGAATGTTTGATTTGATGAAGAAACACAATTTCAAAGTTGGAGTAGATAGCATCAACTGTTTACTCGATAATCTTGGAAGATCAAAGCTTGGAAAAGAAGCTCAGGTTTTGTTCCACAACCTAAAAGGTAAGTTCACTCCAAACATACAAACATACACAGTCTTGCTAAACGGTTGGTGTAAACTCGGGAACCTTCTAGAAGCAGGAAAGATATGGAATGAGATGACAGATGAGGGTTTCACACCCGACATTGTTGCACATAACATCATGCTTGAAGGACTCTTGAAATCCCACAAAAGATCTGAAGCTATTAAGCTCTTTGAGATCATGAAATCAAAAGGTCCATGTAACACTAGAAGTTATACAATCATGATTAGGGATTTATGCAAACAGAAGAACATGAAAGAAGCTATTGAATCTTATGAGAAAATGTTGAATCACAATTATAAACCAGATGCTGCTGTTTACACATGTTTGATTACAGGATTTGGAAATGTGAAACAAATGGACAAAGTTTATGGACTTTTAAAGGAAATGAAAGAGAAAGATTGTCCTCCTGATGGAAGACTTTACAATGCTTTGATTAAGTTAATGACAAATAGGCGAATGCCAGATGATGCAGTGAGGATTTATAAAAAGATGATTCAGAGTGGGATTAAGCCAAGTATACATACGTATAACATGATGATTAAGTCGTTTTTTATGATGGAAAATTATGAAATGGGAGTTGCAGTGTGGGAGGAGATGAGTGAGAAGGGTGTTTGTAAAGATGATAATTCGTATACTGTGTTTATTGGAGGACTTATTAGGATTGGAAGATCAATGGAGGCTTGTAAGTATCTTGAAGAAATGATGGAGAAAGGTATGAAGGTGCCTAGAATTGATTATGGAAAGTTTGTTGGAGATTGTTGTAGGGGTGGGAAAGGGAATGTTCTTGAGGAATTGGGTGAAAAGATGAAATTGGAAGGAAAGATTGAGGTTTCGGATGTGTTTTTTAGGTATGTTGAGTTGATGAAGAAAACGGATAAAAGGTTAAACATTGTTAGAGACTAATTGTTTTGAGTAGAAATTGATGTGCATTTTTAGTTGAGTATAATGTTTTTGTTTTAATTCAACACTACTCTTTAGTTTTGGAACCAACACACATAGTTTATGTCGTTGAGCTTATCCTGATTGACCAGGCTCTTAGGTGTTGTTTGTTTTTTGTCTGGAGATTTTCTTGGCCTCTTCTGTATGAGATGCACATGCGCAGAAGTTAGGTTTCACAGAATGTTTTTTTTTTTTTTGAAGACTGGGACCTAAAAAGGTCTGAACGTCCTCTTCTTAGCGCAGATGTGGACCAAAGTCTTCAAACCTCTTTGGACATCTTCTAGCTTAAAAGAACACATATATCTTTGTTTTTTTTTTAACTTAGATTTATTCTAACTTTATGTATGATAAACAATTTGGGAAAAAAAGTTACAATACTTAAAGAGAAAAGGTTTGACGACACAATTATGACCTCTGTGGCAAATTCTTTTATCTATAATTAAAATGTTTAGGTATAGCTTTGTGATCAAAATTTGTTGGTTTTTATTAAGTATGTACGTTAACTCATACTATTTTATTTTCATTTTTTATGTAATAATACATAAAAGTTGATATACATTTGTTAATTATTTATAATAAAAACATAAAATTATTGAAAAAAAAAAATTTAAGTTTTTTTTAAAAATAAGTTTAATTAGATTTTAGTTTATTCTAATGCAGAGGTTTGCAGAAATAGTTATTTTGTCTCAGAAAAAACAAACAATACCTTAGTGCAAAACTTGTAAGTAGTAATAGACGAATTATGGTTTGACGACATCTATAAAAGTAGAGTTAAACTTAAGTGATTTAATTATAGTCCTTAAAAAAATATTATCATAAACTATTTTAACAAGGCTAAAATCCATATTTCATTTCAATTGTAAAGATGTTTCTATTACAAAAAGGTTTGTGGTAATCACAAAGTGAAGTTATTAAGATATGTAACTGTTTTTCTAATTTCATCCTAAGGTTGGTGGGTGTGATGCCACATTTGCCACAGTCCACGTAGGCATCATATTATTTTTGTCATACTTTTGACAAAATTTGTCATTGTTTAGGCGCCGGTTGCCACACTTTCCATGCTAAATATATATGAATTAATTTAGAAAATAAATATTGCAAACATATTTTTTTTTAAACTTAAATTCTATTAAAAAAACGTAGAGATTTAAAAAAATACATCACACTAGAAATACAAAAAAGAACATAGAAATTCCAAAAAAAAAAAGACATAGAAATTAAATATATCACAAGAACACTACAAATTTAAAAACATCACACTAGAAATTCAAACACACAGCCCACTAAAAATTAGAAACACACAACCCACTAAAAATTAGAAGACAAAGACTTTAAATTTGACGTCATTTGACGCTCTGTCTCACAAATTGCCAAAACTCAACAAGCTTGAAATTTGTGTCAGTTTCAACAGGGTAAGCCTCAAGAGTATTATATAGCAAAACATTTTCGTATTTACCATTTCCGGCATCATGTATCACCATACGAAACACAATGGTAAACCGAGTTGCGAGTACGTTGTACGTTTCTCCATTTGACGTAGAGTAGATATTTTCTTCATGGTTGAAAGGCTTGGCGGTTGTATATGTCGGCGACTCTACTCCAAACAGAAGTCGAAGGATAGTCACTGTGGTGTGGATCTTCTGTTACATCAATCCATGAACGAGCGAGTAAGATCTCTTCTTCAATCGACCAAACAATACCCATTTGTTGTAATGAGGTGTAAAAAAGAATGCGAATATAAGAAAGTTAAGAGAATAAAATTAAGGAGATTTGAATGGGGTGAAGAGTGAATAAGGATGAGGGTATTTATAGTTGAAGATTTTTTGTATAAAATTTAAAATTTTGAAAAAAAAAACGGTTATATTTTTGAAATTAAGTATTTTTTGGAAAGAAGGTAATATTTGAAAATGTGGTTTAAATATTAAATGGGTTAAAAGAAAAAAAAAAGGGAAATCTCTCATCGGTTTACCCTCGCCGAGTTGCCGAGCCAAGCTCGGTATACCGAGGCCTCGGCCCGGTGTTCGCCAAGTTCACCGAGTACAAGCCGAGTACCACACCCACCAGCCTAATGAAACTTTCAGATTGATGTGGGATTCACCGACTTAATATCAATCGACATGTTTTATCTCTTCAATGCTGATCATTTTTTTTGTGATAGGTGTTTTATCTCTTCTATGCTTATCAATTTTTTTTATTTTTTTTATTTTTTATTATTTTTTTTTTGTGACAGATGAATCACATGTATAGATAATTAACCATAAAAAATACGTGATATGAGGCCCAAGATTGTGGGTATCAAAAAAGTCACTATCACTTTCCCCAAAGCCCAAGATTAGTTTTATTGTGTATTTCAAGATGAGTAGTACATTATTGGAAAATGAGTTTTTGTTTTCTAGTTAAAAAGCTTTAACATTGAATGTATTTAAACATTCTAAAACCATTTTTATAATTTTTCTTAAGTCTTGTTTTCAGGTTAAAACATTTTAACTCGTTAATTTTTGGAAAAACATTTTAAACCATTTTTAAAAGGGAAAATACCGGCAATAGTAAAAATGGGGGTATTTTCAAAATTTAGACATGAAAATTGACATTTCCGGGTATAGACATGCATTCCACGGAGGTAGCTCTGCGGAATTACTGTAGCTCCGCGGAATGGCAAAATCGTAAATAAATTAGTGTATTTAAAAAAAAAACTCAAGATCCATTCCGCGAAGCTACAGTGGATTCCGCGGAGCTCCGCGGAGGTAGCTCCGAAGAATGAATCTTCAGTTTGTTTTTTTTTTTTTCCTTTTTTTCAAATCGATTTTTTCGGGGTTTATATTCATTCCCCAAACTAATTATTTTTATGATAGTATGCATTTTTCTTGACAATGTTTGGAATGAATATGAGGTGGAAAAAAATTGGTCTTTTAATTAAAGATCATTAATAAAAGAATTAATGGAGGAGTTTTTTTTTTCCTGAAGATCCATTCCTCGGAGCTACCTCCGCGGAGCTCCGCGGAATCCACTGTAGCTCCGCGGAATGGATCTTGAGTTTTTTTTTTTTTTTTTTTTTTTTTGAATTTCATCATTTATTTACGATTTTTCCATTCCGCGGAGCTACAGTGGATTCCGCGGAGCTCCGTGGAATCCATGTCTATACCCGGAAATTCAATTTTTTTGTCTATATTTTGGAATTCAACCTTAAATAATGTTTATACCCGATATTTTCCTTTTTAAAATCGTTTACCTATGGCCAAACTTTTAAACCAATTTTAATTGTTTTTATAAAGCTTTTTTTTTTAATTTATTTATTTATTTTAGTTTTCAATATTAATTTGCAAATGTCTTTTGTTAAACTTTTAACAAAACAATTTTATGTTTCAAGTATATTTTAAATTCATAGCATTCAAATTCCTAGACAACTTACAAAATAATAAACACAACCAATTGCAAATTAATGTTAACAATTGCTTCAATTTATGTGTATTTACGTGAGCGAACAAGAGAAAAACTTTAAAATTATAGGGACAAAATAACAATATTCGTATGTGGCTTCCATAATAAAATCAACATCAACATTTGGGCGTGTTCGGCACAAAGCGTCTGGGAGCGTTTGAGAGCTTCTAGTTTCTAGCTTCTAGCGTTTGACAAAACGTTCCGTTTTGAACAGAAAGTCTCGTTCGACACTACAAGCTTCTAGCATTTAGTTTAAACAAAACGCTCCAAATCCAAATGCTACTTCATGTAGCGTTTAACAAAACGCTACAAAGCTACAAGCTACCCGCTACCCTGCTACAAGTTATCCGCTACCAGCTAGTTTTGCCGAACACGCCCTTGATGTTCGGATGGGTACCCACACAGATTCCAATCTCCGTGATTCTATTGGGTTGGGTCAATCTTCAAAATTACATAATTTTATCTACCTAATCTATGATACAAGTACACATGAAAATACATTGCAAAGAAAATTAAAATTATACAGAAGGTCATGCAAAAAACCAACCAACCAAACATCATATACATAGGTCCTAAAAAGGCAATATGTTATCGAATCAATGCTATAACACTGCTTTTCTTGACAGGTTTAAGCATCGCAAAAGGTCCATAACTTTATAATTAAGACTTTTCAACTGCTTAACTGTCATAAAAAGTCCATTAGCATTGGCCTAACCTGATGAGTTGAAAAACTCTTAGATCGATTAGATCTTCAACAGGTTAAACAATAAAAGCAAACAAATACAATCAACATGATATAGAATCAAGTAATGCTTAATGATTCAAATGTAGTCACGCCTCAGCAGAGCTCGATGAAGAACTTCCACTGTAGAGGCGAGCTAGGGTTTGTAGTACAATATTCAGAGTAATAATAAAAGCGCCCTAAATAAAGGATGCATGCATGCACCTTAAATACTAAACCCTAATAAATCAAACACGGTTGGACAGGCCCAAACCGGATAGCAAAATTGGCTAAGGACCGAGCCCAAGACGCAACACTATTATACCCAACAATCTCCCCCTTTGCGTCAAAAGAGGCGAAAGACTACTTCGGTTGAGTAACCTTGACCTGCTTCACAACCTTGAACAGTCGAGGGATGATCGCAAGAAGTGTCTGCTAAAACTGAATGTACCAGCGAAGCATATCAGTGAACAACTTCTTGTCAGCTTCACTATTCTGATTACACCTGTGAATGATCTCCAAAATATGCTCCAAGCAAGCAGTAGAGAAGAGGTGCTTGTCAATAAGAGCGAACAAGAATTTTTGACCTTCGCCCCTAATGAACATCACAGTGTGAAACTTAGGATTGATTTTGCCCTTGATCATCGCATTCACATTTCCAGCTCTTCCAATTGGTTTTATCGTAGTTCGCTTGTGAATGGCAGATACGATTTCTTGATCCATCTTTGCTACCTCGTGGATGTAACAAACAAGCATTCGCTTGACATGATCAATGATCGGCTGATACTCCTGAGGATTGGACAGT